TGTGTGTGTGTGTATATATATATATATATATATATATATATATATATACTGTATATACAGGTGAAACTCGAAAAATTAGAATATCGTGCAAAAGTTCATTTATTTCAGTAATGCAACTTAAAAGGTAAAACTAATATATGAGATAGATAGACTCATTACATGCAAAGTAAGTTAGTTCAAGTCGTGATTTGTCATAATTGTGATGATTATGGCCCACAGCTCATGAAAACCCCAAATCCACAATCTCAGAAAATTAGAATGTTGTGAAAAGGTGCAATATTCTAGGCTCAAAGTGTCCCACTATAATCAGGTAATTAAGCCATAACACCTGCAAAGGGTCCCTGAGTCTTTAAATGGTCTCTCAGTCTGGTTCAGTAGGAATCACAATCATGGGAAAGACTGCTGACCTGACAGTTGCGCAGAAAGCCATAATTAACACCCTCCATAAGGAGGGAAAGCCTCAAAAGGAAGTTGGATGTTCCCAAAGTGCTGTATCAAAGCACATTAATAGAAAGTTATGTGGAAGGGAAAAGTGTGGAAGAAAAAGGTGCACAAGCAGCAGGGATGACCGCAGCCTGGAGAGGATTGTCAGGAAAAGGCCATTCAAAAGTGTTGGGGACTTTCACAAGGAGTGGACTGAGGCTGGAGTCAGTGCATCAAGAGCCACCACACACAGACGGATCCTGGACATGGGCTTCAAATGTCGTATTCCTCTTGTCAAGCAGCTCCTGAACAATAAGCAATGTCAGAAGCATCTTATCTGGGCTAAAGATAAACAGACCTGGTCTGTTGCTCAGTGGTCCAAAGTCCTCTTTTCTGATGAAAGCAACTTTTGCATCTCATTTGAAAACCAAGGACCCAGAGTATGGAGGAAGAATGGAGAGGCACACACTGCAAGATGCTTGAAGTCCAGTGTGAAGTTTCCATAGTCTGTGTTGATTTGGGGATCCATGTCATCTGCTGGTGTTGGTCCACTGTGCTTTATTAAGTACAGGGTCAACACAGCCGTCTACCAGGAGATTTTGGAGCACTTCATGCTTCCTTCCACAGATGAGTTTTATGGGGATGCTGACTTCATTTTCCAGCAGGACTTGGCACCTGCCCACACTGCCAGAAGCACCAAAACCTGGTTCAATGACCGTGGGATTACTGTGCTTGATTGGCCAGCAAACTCGCCTGACCTGAACCCCATAGAGAATCTATGAGGCATTGCCAAGAGAAAGATGAGAGAAATGAGACCTAACAATGCAGAAGAGCTGAAGGCCGCTATTGAAGTAACCTGGTCTTCCATAACACCTCAGCAGTGCCACAGGCTGATTGACACACCGTTTTGAGGCAGTAATTGCTGCAAAAGGGGCCCAAACCAAGTACTGAGTACATATGCATGCTTATACTTTTCAGAGGTCCGATATTGTTCTATGTACAATCCTTGTTTTATTGATTGCATGTAATATTCTAATTTTCTGAGATTGTGGATTTGGGGTTTTCATGAGCTGTAAGCCATAATCATCACAATTATGACAAATCACAGCTTGAACTATCTTGCTTTGCATGTAATGAGTCTATCTCATATATTAGTTTCACCTTTTAAGTTGCATTACTGAAATAAATTAACTTTTGCACGATATTCAAATTTTTCGAGTTTCACCTGTGTGTGTGTGTGTGTGTATATATATATATATATATATATATATATATATATATACATATAATATTTTTCTTTTTCTAGGGAGCACTTCCAGTAATCTTACTGCTTTATATTTAAAAATCCATCAATGAGAAACAATCTGGAAAAAGGTCATTGTTATTGCTTTCACAGGGGTCAAGAATATACCTTTGAATTTGGCTGTATATGATGAGACAGCAAAAATGCTGATAGAAAATGATGAGAGTAAGTGGGCTTGATAGCAGTATTGACTTTTAAACAAGGTCAGAGAAAAATTCCATTTCCTTATTTGCTCCATCTTAAACAACAATACCAATGTTATATCATGGAAAATCAATTAAAGAGAAATGTGGGATTTCAAAATAATCAACCTATATAATCAGGTGAATGAAATGTCGGTCTGATCCTGCATCTGTCCCCCTCTACCTCTAAACACGAAGACTGAGCAATCAAAGACTGCTGATAACTCAGTTCTCAAGTCCGTTCTGAGCAGACAGCTGGTGACATCAGCCGACAGCGGACTTTAGACCATTGTCGGCTGAATCTGGGTCACGTGGGTGCTGAACCAAGTGCGCTCCTATGAACCAAAATAATTTTGTCCCCCTACTTCTCCTTTAGTGTTTAGCCAATACAGGTATACAATACAGGTATAGCTTTTTACTACTGTGCAGTAAGTTATTGTGGTTTACTGAGTTTTATGTGATTGCTTTTGCTTATGAGCGGGACTTCAGCTTCTTGTCACTAATTCTGCAGTAATCATTACAGCCTGTAGCTTTGTAAAGGAAATTCTATTGCAGGTATGTGCAAACTGTACAGCCAGCCTAGTAACCATATGCTGTAGTTCATCTGTGGAATCCCAGTATCTACAAAACTGCTAATCAAGAAATACATATGCATGTATATAATATATATATATATATATATATATATACGGTCATGGCAAAAATATTGCACCACTTTGAACAGAAAATTGTTCCAATTACAAATGTTTAGGCTTTCTAATGTTTATTTATTTTGCTTGTATTGGTATGACACAAAAAAGTGGGGAAACAAAAAGCCAAAATCTGACACATTCTATGCAAAACCCCAAAAATGGACTGGATAAAATGATTGGCACCTTCTCAAAAAAATAAATAATTACATTACAAGTTTGTGATGCTACTGTAATTTGTAAATAAACTCAACTGTATCAATTAACAGGTGTGACAATAAAGAAATCACACCTGCAACCAGTTAAAATGGTGAAAAATTGACTCATCCTTTCTGTTGTGTGTCTCTGTGTGCCACATGGATCATGGAGAAGAGAAAAAGCAGCAAAGAATTGTCTGAGGATTTGAGAACAAAAACTGTGGAAAAGCATGGACAATCTCAAGGTTACAAATCCATCTCCAGAGATCTTAATGTTTGTGCGCAACATTGTCAAGAAGTTTACAGCTCATGGCACTGTGGCTAATCTCCCTGGACGTGGACGAAAGAGAAAAACTGATCAAAGATTGCAACAAAAGATTGTTTGAATGGTGTATAAAGAAAGATCCCTCGATCAACTACCAGACAAATTCAAGCTGGCCTTCAGGCACAGGGTACAACTGTGTCAGCTTGTACTATACGTTGCCATCTGAATGAAAAGGGACATGATGGTAGGAGACCCAGGAAGACCCTACTACTGACACAGAAACATAAAAAAGCCAGAATGGAGTTTGCCAAAACTTACCTGAGGAAGCCAAAATCCTTTTGGGAGAATGTGCTGTGGACAGACGAAACATAATTACAGCTTTTTGGTAAAGCTCATCATTCTACTGTTTTCAGAAAAAGAAATGAGGCCCTACAGTCAAACAAGGTGCCAGTTCACTGATGTTTTGGGGTTGCTTTGCTGCTTCAGGCATTGGATGTCTTGACCGTGTGCATGGCATTATGAAATCTGAAGACTAGCAAACAATTCTGGGGTGCAATGTAGGGCCCAGTGTCAGAAAGCTGGGTCTCTGTCAAAGGTCATGGGTCTTACAACAGGACAGTGACCTGAAGCACACTTCAAAAGCACCAAGAAATTGTTTCAGACATTGCAGATTACTGCACTGGATAGCAATGAGTCCAGATCTCAATCCCAAAGAGCACCTTTGGAGAGATCTCAAAACAGCAGTTGGGAAAAGGAACCCTTCCAATCTGAGAGACCTGGAGCAGTTGATGAAAGAAGAACGGTCCAAAAATCAGTAGAGAGGTGTAAGAAACTCATTGACAGTTACAGGAAGCAATTGATTTTAGTTATTTTTTCCAAGGGGTGTGCTACCAAATATTAAATTGAGGATGCCAATAATTTTGTCCAGTGCATTTTTGGGGTTTTGCTTGGAATGTTTCAGATTTGGCTTTTTGTTTCTCCACTTTTTTTGAGTCATACCAAAGCAAACAAAAGAAATAAACATGAGAATGCCTAAACATTTGTAATTGTAACTATTTTCTGGGCAAAGTGGTGCATTATGTGACAATATTTTTGGCCATGACTATACACACTGTCTATTTGCTCATTATATAGTATGTGGTCTCTGCTGCTGCCTCTGCCTGTTGAAATGGTTCGAAAGACAGAATTTTGTACCTTATTGCATTCTATACATTATGGTAAAAAAAACCTTCTGGGTGCAGCCCCCCCTTATACTTACCCAATACTGAGCCCCATCTCGATCCAGCAATGTGCGTAAGAGCAGCAGGTCTCTCTCCTCATTGGCTCGCACAGCAGTGGGAGCAATTGGCTCCTGCTGCTGTCAATCACAGCCAGTGAGCCATTAGGCAGAGAGTAGGGGGCAAGGCCGGGCCACGCTCTGTGCGTGAATTGATAATTCCAGCCTACACAAGTTTCTCCATAGCAAGAGGCTTGCTATTGGAGGCATTTGGCAGTGGGGAGGAGCCAGGACCACCAGTGGGGGACCCAAAAAGAAGAGGATCGTGGCTGCTTAGAACAGGTAAGTATACTATATATATTTTTTTAAAATTACGTTTAGAATCATTTTTCTCTTTCTACTGTTTCTCTCTGCCTCAGCACACGTCTATTTTAAAATAATTAACATAATTTACTAAACTATGGTATACATGTTTATATGTGCCTTAGATTTTTTTTTCAGCAGTTGTTAAGCAGGGAGGCTCAGCGAATGCATTTATATTCAGACTGCTATTAGACAGTGGATCTGTAAATCTATAGATTAAATTAGGTAATTGGTTCCAGTTAGCAACTTCCAAACAACCACAATATATGAATATTGTTTTTCCTCTGGAATGTTGAAACATTGAAGAGAAAATCACATTGCTCCCAAGGGACAAGCTAATGCCTCTTCTTTCTTTTTTCCAGTTGACCGACCTGTCAGGGTGTATGCAGATGGAATATTTGATCTTTTCCACTCAGGTCATGCAAGAGCCCTTATGCAAGCGAAAAACCTGTTCCCAAACAGTTACCTGCTAGTGGGAGGTAAGCTACACACTGACATATATAATATAATTTAAAGGTGATCTCTAGCTTTTAGAAAAGTTTACATAGTTTGCTAGCTGGTCCAAACAAACTATTACTGTCACTACTAGATTTGCCCGTGTACGCTGTATGACCTGTATGTAGCTGGACAAGAACGTATTATCCTGCACTCTGAACAAAATCGAGTTGGGCTGAACGCTGCTCTGCCATTCACAGGGAGTTGTATACTTTATAAATGAATACAAAGCTTCCTCTGCTTAGCTGAGGCAGAGAAGCAGGTGGATGACATCACATTCTCTGACCCATCTATTCAGAAGAAGCTTTGTATTCATTTATAGACTACAAAGCTCCATGTAAATAGCTGAGCAGTAATGATCCCAACTCAATTTTGTTCCAGGAGCTGGATGGGAAGTTCCCATCCTACTGCCGGAACACTGCACTGTGTACTGTATGTAGTTGAGGCTACATACAAGTTATGCAGCGCACACAACAAGCATATCTAGTAGTAACCAGTTTGGACCAGTTTGGTCCAAACAAACTATTTAAACATCACTAAAATCTGGAGATCCACTTTGAAGAAGTCTTATTTCCATTTTTCCTAATGTGTTTTGTTCCCCAGAACAAAGTGCATGTTGAGTTTCAGACTTACTAGTCCTTTAAAACATCCTGAGAAATAACTGCAGAATTTGTTTTTTAATGGTTCCTGTCAGTTTGCAGTGATGAACTAACCCACAAGTACAAAGGTTTTACGGTAATGACTGAGAGTGAGCGCTACGAGGCTTTGCGTCACTGTCGCTATGTGGATGAAGTGATTACTGATGCCCCATGGACTCTTACACCAGAATTCTTAGAGAAGCATAAGGTAAAGTTATTTATTTTAATAGATTAATACTAACTCAGAATCAGGTATTCCTAATCTTCAAGACTAAAGTAAATTTTTCTAATTATCCTTTCAACACTCCCTTAGTAATACTGAAGAAAATTCATAACAATGAGCCAAGCACCGATTAAGTCCAGTATTTAAAATATTTGATTTTGAAACCACTGTATCTGTGTGTTTGAAAATCTATCAGGGCTATTTTTTTTTAAATTTCCAATAAATTTATAATTGAATTAGCAGTAAACTTTTTTTTTTTTTACATTTACAAGCTTTCAAGGTGCAAGGTTTAAATAAGTAAATTTACTGTTAAGAAAGAACTGTACATGTATCAACAAGGAAATGTACCACATCATGTTCTTAGTAAATCCCCCTCACTGTTCCTTTGTATCTTGATTTGTAAAAAGAAGATTAGGATCTTGATTTTTGGTGCGCTGAGAAAAAACATTGTTATCACTGAATGAAGCACAATGTTGGGGGAAATCACGAAAGGGCAACTTTTGTGGTATTTTGTTTTTCATTCATTATTTCTGGTATTTTCTTTGTCATTCATTATTTACAGTTACAAATTATGTTTTGAATTCACTTATGTTTTTAATTGTACTAATCAGTTATATTTTCTGATTGCCACTTTTCTGCATCCACACGTCGTCTGTTGTTGGAGTTTGAACAGTTATGCTGTCTCCATGAGATGCCTGGACACCTGCTCTCCACACTTTATAAACTCCTCTTTTCCTTGCTTCATGGAGACCTCCCAACATATACCAGGATGTGGTCTCCAGACTTGGGAAGGGACCTTTCTGCAGCTGATTGGCAAACCTCTTTTCTTTTTACACATAAATCCACTATCTCTTGTTATGCTTAGGAAAAGAACTTTAAAATCAACTGTTCCTGTTTACATGTTTGGTGGTACTGCTCTAAGATTAAGCCTTTTTGGACACAAGTTTCTGCTGGCCACAATAGAGTGTTTGATGAGTCTTTGACCCCCAAATCCAGAAATAGCACTACTTTCCATGCTTCCGGGCTCAGTCGCATCTCAAAAATGGAGTTTACTGCAAATTTTTTCCTATCTGCGGCCTAACAGATCATACCATTATTTTGGAAGACAGCTATGACTTCCTCCATGGCCCTTTTGGGCTGCCGTGGTGAATGATATGATGCATATGGAGGAGATGCTGGTGATGGACAATGACACCTATTGAGAAGTTTACAACCTTATGGTACATTTGGATCCATTTCTCAATGTACATCCACTTGAAAGCCTTTCTTACCACCCCCCCCCGACAGTGCTGTTGAGGACATTGCACCCCGACCCAGTTCCGGTCTCATTTAGGGATACCTACATTGGATTCTGGTACAATTATTTTTTCCTTTCTGGATTTTTTCTTTTCTTACCCCGACAGTGCTGTTGAGGACATTTTACCCCCAGCCAGTTCCAGTCTCATTTAGGGATGCCTACATTGGATTCTCTTACAATTATTTTTTCTTTTCTGGTTTTTGAATCCCATATCAGGTCCATTGTTGGTAGCCCCCTAGTTTTGCTATTTGGATTTCTTAGGGCTCACTCACTCATTTCCCCTTTCTTTCTGTTCTATTTCCTTCAAATTTTACACCCACATGGGGGCATTCTCTTTTTCTTGACTTTACTTGCTTTTGCTCTTACATCTACACTTACACAATATCCTTGCATTTGCTCTGGGATTCATTTTCTGGACTGTATATGGGTCCATTGCACTTTTATACAATCTTAAATCCAGGATGCCTTATAGGCTCACTCTAATGTTGTAGATAACTTTTACCTATAACATGACATAGCATATAATGTTCCTATGCAATATTTTACTCATTGTGACCTTTCCTTTGTATTACTGTACTCCAGACTACAGTTGGAACCCTCATTTAGACAAAAAGACAGAAGTAGTGCTACAACAACAAAAAAAAAATTACAGCGCTAATTAAACAAGCATTTGCTCCAATGTTTGAAAGCACATTTTGCAATTGCACTGGATCAACATGCGGATAGTGGCAACAATGGACTCCATCTGCATGGCAGGTTGTAGTTTCCACCAAGGGTGCAAGGTTCCAACACACAGCACAACTGGGAGTTGTTACCCTGTAACACAAACTGCTTAAACACAACTTTGGAAATACAATTAACCTGTTAAAGCTTATATGAGATATTAGTAACTGAGGTTTTCTACATTTAATCTGAAAAATAATTATAGGTTATATCTTTACTATGCGGTCTTCAGCTGTACTATTATTTTAGCTTTGAACATTATAATATTTAATGTATTTGGTATAATCCAGCAAACCCTCCATATTAGCATTTCTAATATCGCATAACTCATACTTTACTAATTAAGATTCTGGTGTTCAGCCAATATATTCTGTATTAGCAGAAATATGGAAAGAAGATAAAGTACTGTGAAACCCAAGAGCTACAGATCAAATATTTTAATGAGTTCTGTGTCCTGCAGTGAGCTTTAATGTTTTATTGTGCTGTTGTCTATTATTTGTATTGAAGAGTAATATATTATCTCTTATGCATAGATTGATTTTGTGGCTCATGATGACATCCCATATTCATCAGCTGGCTCTGATGATGTATACAAGCACATAAAGGAGGCAGGTAAATTTTGTTCTGTGACCTGTATTAAGGCCGGATTGAAGCATAATCCAAATGGTGACCGGTTACCTTAAAAATGATTGTTTGACAATGAGTTTGTAATGCAACACTTCCAAATATTTAAAATAAAAAGTCAATACCATTCTGCCCATTCTGGCCAGATTTTCAGGAGCTCAAAACTGTGACAATCTAGGCAATTTGGACTATTTCCCTAATGCAGTCCAGTGTGTTTCATCATCTTTCTAAAGTGTAGTTTTTAGTTTTGGATAGAGTGGTGAAGGATCAGGCGCTATTTTTATTGCTCTGTCCCCACTGACCACTGTCGGAGACACAAAGTGAGGGGAGAATTCAAAATTGTCACCAGAGTTGTCACTAGAGCAGGAGGTGAGAGAAAATTTTCAATGTGGACAAATGTTCTGGCAAGAAATCTATAAGGTGGGAATTCCCCCCACATGGGTGAGATTTGCTTTCATTTCCTGTTGCATCACCAGGGTAGGTAGTTAAGGGAAATCTCCTAAGCCTAAGCAGGACACAGACACCATATAAAATGATAGATTTCTGAACCCCTACCTACTCAATCCAAACCACAAACATTTTTTAGCTATACATACACTTTAAATCCCTGTGGGGGGTCATAGTTGGGAAACATTTCACCCCAAAATTTTGGTATCATCCAATGCCATAACAGCACTTCTGGCATAAAGACAAGTAAAAATATCACCCATCTGTTTCTGGATTCCACTGATGTCTGATGTCAAGAAAAAAACAAGGGAAGACAGAAACTGAATATGACCTCATTTTTCAGTGTTTTTTTAAAAATCGTGTCCTCATATTAGTTAAGTAGATTTCCTTGAAAGAAATGTAAATCTAGCTTGTGGCTGTAGTAAAATGTAGACAGTTGTTATTTCAGACATTTGGTGAAAAAAAGGCTATTGTATGTTATATACAGTATTTCACTTCTTATAGACTCAGTAACAAAAAACAAAAAAAACAGTGGATCAAAACTGTCACATGATGTAGGTTTAACATTAGTAAAAGTGGAATATCAGTGTAATAAAAGAAAACAATCAATTGTCAGTAAATGCGCATGCTATCAGTTTATAGTCACTTGTTATTACCATCTTTTTCTGTTCAAGTGGGTTTACTTTTTGCACAGATCACAGTGGCAAGAACAGTAGGTCATGAAGCCTTGTACACACGGGCTGAAAATCAGTCAGTTTGGCTGGAACAGGCCACTTGTGGACCATGTGTACAGTTGTTCGTTCTACAGAAACTGGTCTCACGACCGGCCTCTGTCAACTGGGCATGCTAGAGAAGGAGCATTCAAACCAGCTTCTGATCAGTGCTGGCAGCTGATCAGTGTATTCTGGTATCCTTTCAGAATACACACAGCGGAGGAAATTGCTGCACTAACATCACTTGTGTTATTATGGCGATCTCTCAGGTTTTTATCATTCAGCCTGCTGGGTTGAACAAAAAAAACCTTATAGCATGTATCCAGCTTTAGGGTTTATGTGTATAATAAACAATGCCAGCAGCTATACTTAAAGTTTAAGTGCACCTTATGCAGGCCACAGATGGGCCATTTATCAGCCGAATTGTCGGGCGATAAAGGAAAAATCGTCCGGCACCGTTGCCTATCCTGCCACCATCGTCCGCGAAAAACGACCGTTTCACGTGGATTTTCCAGCATTTTCTGATAAAAGTAAATGAGACGATCCACGAAAAACGGTCGACGTGCGGGTCCCACTAACGTCGTGAATATCGGCCCGTCTATGGCCTGCATTAGTCCTCCATCTCCAGCCACTCTTGCAGTAATCACCTGTCACTGATCCAGCAAGATATCTCTAATTAAATTAGAACTACTTGTCAAAAATTTCCCACCCCTCTGCTACATTCATTGATACCTATGGGGCCCTTTCACACTGATCAGTTTTGGCATTTAAAAAGTGGAGCAAAAAAATCATGAAAAAGGGTATTCCTTTAAATCCTATCAAACTCTTCACACCGATTGCGCTGTGGGTGACGAACGTTTTTTCAAAGTCCTGTATGCTGCATTTTTGTTGCATGTTTAAAAATGCATATGCATTTCTACCCCATTTTTCAGCACAGCAGTGTGAAAGGGCCCTTTTTCTGGAGTACAAGCTCATACAATGGTTAGGAAAAAATGTGAATAATGAATAAGGTCAGCTTGGAAAATTGTGTGATCTAGCTGGCAGTGTCTTGCTGAATTAGGGACAGGTGAGTTCAAGACTAGGGAATGGGTTGGTGGTGATTTCTGTAGATTTGTGTAACTGCACCAAACTAGCAGTTACACTTTAAGGCTTAATAATGAATTTTATGTTTTCATTCCTTTCTCCTTTAACATAAATAGACCATACAGTTTATAAAATCACTGTAATGTCACGAAAACTAATGTGTTCTGCAGTGCAGTAGCTTGTCTTTGTTAAGACATGCCATGTCATAGAAAAATCTGTGATACTGGCTATATTTCTTCTTTATGACAGGCATGTTTGTACCAACACAGAGGACAGAAGGTATTTCAACGTCGGACATAATCACTAGAATCGTCCGTGATTATGATGTTTATGCCAGACGCAACCTCCAGAGAGGATATATGCAAAAGAGCTAAATGTTAGTTTCATAAATGTAAGTATAAAAACAGCTGGCAATGTGGGTTTATATCAGTAGTGTTTTTCCCTATCCTTAAACACTGTCTTTATGACAGATCTCCCATTTCATTGGTCAGAATTATACAATAGCGACTGCAGATTGTTGAATACAACATCAGATATAAATCCTCATTGTCATTTGAAATCATAAATTGCTACAACAGTTTGATGGATTATAGGGAGATTAGTACTTTAATCCCCTCTTAAGACTGAATGAGTTCCATGTTTAATACCAATATTCATTTCTTATTCCCTGTAATAATGTTTTCTGTGTTAAAAATCCTTTCACGAGTGCTGGATTTAAAGTGGAATTCCAGCTATACAGCTGAATACACAGTTCAAATTTTACCTGCAATCGCTGCCAAAATAATTTTGTTCAGTCACACAACCCTGCTACACTACAGAGCCAACATTTTGATTTCCTGTATCAGCTTTGCAGATTTTTGTGTCACCAGCCTATTTACTGGAATATGAAGAAAGAAACATTATCCCATTATTGACATCCACCCTATGCTCTTTACCTCATGCCATATATTCAAACACCTCGCCTTCTGTTTTTTGTGAAATACAATAGAGCTTAATTGACTTTCATTGCATAACCTTATGTGTAGATAACGTAAAGATACTGTACATATCAGATGGTTAAATGGAATTATTTAAAAAACATTAACAAACCTAGCTAGTAGCAGAGGCACTAGACTTGCTTTGTAATGTTAGAGATGTTTCACTGCTTCTCTAAGCCACTTCTTCAGTTCCAATGAGTGTCAGGAAGATACCCCAGAATTTATATCCAAATCTTAATCCAATCACCGTGGAATGTATAGATGTTGACTGACCAAGAACAGGATGGGAGGAGTAAAACTTTGGAACCACCCTGTTCTAGTTACATAATGCCCATCCATGGTGTCAGGAAGTCTGAGTAAGTGTTAATTCCTAATTACATGGCTAAAGGTGTGAATTATCCCATATGTAGATGTAGTGCTGGAAAAATAAAATTAATATTCTGCGTGGCCAAGCTTACTAAATGTGCCCAGGGGTGCCACATCCCTTATATATAACACACACTCCCAACATAATACCATATAGAATTCCGACATGAATAACTACAAGTACACTAAGATAAATGGTTTAAAATCGAATGGATGTCAGTTGCTATTAACATACAGTTCTCTAGCAGACATGTAGCTGTTACAGATGACTCAATTATGCACATAAATGTCACTCAAACATGTAAAATTTTCACTGTGTCACATGTGCATTTCAATAATAATAATAATAATCTTCTTTAGGGGTAGATGCTAGTCTTTCTGTAACATAAAATATACTCCCCTCCTCCTTAATAAACTACACTCCCTTGGCATCAGAGACTCCGCTCTCTCCTGGCTCTCCTCCTATCTATCCCAACGCTCCTTCAGCGTTACCTATAACGCTACCCCCTCCCCTCTCTCGCCCTCCCTGTTGGGGTCCCCCAAGGCTCTGTCCTATCACCTCTACACTGATGACGCGCAAATTTACCTCTCCACCCCTCGCCTCACCCCTTCAGTCTCCGCCTGTATCACCCACCTACTGAACGACATATCAGACTGGATGTCGCTCCATTTCCTCAAATTGAACCTTTATAGTGCCTACTATATGTAGAAGACAGATGGTCTTGAAGGTCCCTACTCTTGTTTTGGGATGGCTGTCCCAGTTTGACATGGATGACCCCTTTCAGTCCTGTACAAAATGTGAACCTCGCCGTTCTCAAAAGAACACCTCTGTTTATTAAGATGTAGGACAACTGCTGACTTTGACCTATGGAATTTTCCCATCTTGTGCTGGGCCATTAATTTGTTGAGAGGTTGTTTTGTTTCTCCAATCTTTGCGTTTCTTACTACACTGCACTGCAAATTCCAAGGAACTTTGCTTGTGTTTGGGTGTTGGGTCTTTTAGATGTACACACTTCTGTTGTTTCAGTGTATTGCTGGCCCTGAAGAATACAGGAATGTAATGTTTGTCAGACTTTAAGTCCTCTGTCATATACAGGTATAACTGCTTTCTGTGTCCCCATTTGGAAGATTTTGCAATTTTTCCTGTACCAAAGACACAACAGGACATGAGAAGATGCCTCCCTAAAGTGAGGGGTAATCCCACTTGAGACCACCATTATCACTGAGAGATTTCTCAGCTAATTCTGCTTTATCTTGTTACAGTTCCTTTCAAAACTGCCACTAAACTAGTAGTAAACAAGCCCCTTTTTATAGCTTTTAATAATAATTTTTATATTTCATTTTATTGGATTTACAGTTGCGCTCAAAAGTTTGCACACCCTGGCAGAAATGTGAAATTTTGGTATTGATATTGCAAATATGTCTGATCATGCCAAAAAACTGTCTTTTATTTAAGGATGATCTTATGAAGCCATTTATTATCAAATAATTGTTTGGCTCCTTTTTAAATCTTAATGATAACAGTCAAAAATGTACATACCCTGGAATGTTTGGCCTTGGTACAGACACACAAGGTGACACACATGGGTTAAAATGGTAATTAACCGCCTCCTGCCCGCCATATAAGAAAATGATGGGTGCAATGCAGTTCTCTCATTCTGGGAGGACATCATATGACGTCCTCCCACTCTAACCGTGCGTGCGCAGCTGGCGATCGGTGGTGCGCTGTGTCCCTCGGACACAGCGGATCATCGATCAACTGAAAGAACCGAAGACGTCGGCTTGGTCAAGTGATCAGCTGTGTCCAATCACAGCTGATCACATGTAAATAAGAAAATTGCTGGGGTTTGGCATTTCTCTCCTCACGAGCTGTCACGCTGACAGCTCGTGAGGAGAGGAGAGCCGTTAATCGGCATTACTCAGAGGGGACATGTACACTGATCATCAGGGCACTGATCAGTGCCACCTGTCAGTGTCCATCAATGCCAGCTGTCTGCCCATCAATGCCACCTGCCAGTGCCACATTAGTGCCACATATCAGTGCCTACCACTGCACATCAATGCCACATATCAGTGCCCATCTGAGCTGCCTTTCAGTGCCATCCAGTGCCACCTATCAATACCAGTCAGTGCCACCTATCAGTGCTGCCAATCAGTGCCGCCTATCAGCGCCAGTTAGTGCTGCCAATCAGTACCACCTAACAGTGCCAGTCAATGCTACCTAACAGTGCCAGTCAGTGCTGCCTATCAGTGCCACCTATCTGTGCAATATATGAGTGCTGCCTTTCAGTGCCCATCAGTGATGCCTGTCAATGCCCATCAGTGCCACCTACCAGTGCCTCCGTATCAGTGCCCATCAGTACAACCTTTCAGTGCCCATCAGAGCAGCCTATCAGTGTCCATCACTGCAGCCTCATTAGCGCACATCAGTGAAGGAGAAAATCACTTATTTACAAAATTTTATAACAAAAACTAAGAAAAAAATTTTTTTTTTTTAAATTTCAGTTGTTTTTGGTTTGTTTAGCAAAAACTAAAAAACCCATAGGTGATAACACTACCAAAAGAAAGTTATATCTGTCTCAAAAATTTAAAAAAAAAATTCATATGGGTACAGTGTTGTATGACTGCGCAATTGTCCTTCAAAGTTTGACAGCGCTGAAAACTGAAAATTGGCTTGGGCAGGAAGGGGGTATAAGTGCCCTGTAGGCAAGTGGTTAAAGGTTACTTTCCCACATCTGTGGCTTTTTAAATTTAAACAATGTCTGTGTATAAATCGTCAGTTTGTTTGCTCTCATGTGGATAACATAAATCACTCAAATGGTGTTGCTTGATGTACAATACATCCCCTGTTCCTAGCATTACAATTTGTGAACCATTTCTCCTTTATTTCACAGTTTAGGTTCACTTTAAATCTTTAATACCTATTTAAGGAATAGCATATTAGCTGCAGAGGAACTGCTCGAAGTTAGACCTTTGACACGGTGCCTGGATTCTGTGAAACTTATTCAAGAAGCGCCTAGAGTAAATGTATAAATCCACTGCCATGTATTAATATAAAACCAATCCAGGGCCTAGCATCCTTATTCCTTTGTCTAATTACTGAATCATTGCATATCCAAGCAATATTTTGTAGGTGACCAATTCTTTTAAAGTGCATGTCAAGAGGCACTACTGTTGCCTCCATAACACATTGCAGCAAGCTCTAGGAAACAGAGCTTAGTGAATGTGATGAAGCTCTATTGATTTCCATCATGAAATGCTGTTTTTTTCCTTGCACCTTATTGGGTATTCTTTACAAAGTAAAGCTTCACCACATTCACTAAACTCTGGGGAAAATGAGTGACGTTGCAAGTGCATTTGCAAAATGCACAGTCTATTTGCTTTTAGTAAATCAACCCCACTGTATATCTAATGATGTTATGTATGCTTACACACTTAGTATGTGAAATCATTTTAAAGTGAACAAGCATCAGGTATATGTATCCATGTTAAATGCAAGTTGACTAAAGCTGGTCATACACAGTTTAAATTTCTGCTAGTTCCAGAGGAACCAACCAAAAATAATTTAGTGGATGGCTCCATTGGCCCCTTCCCACCCACCATCCTTAAGGTGAAAAATCATAAAAAACAGGTGGAAATGTTTTTCAGATGCAGCTGATGTTCGGGTATTCTGATAGCCGCAGCTGTCTGAATATAATGACCCAGCAGGGTAATTTGTCCATCTGTAGACTGAACAAAAAAATGTAATACATTCTGCTTTGAACTGTGATGCCATTCTAGATGTACAGTGAATCCAGAAAGTATTCACAGCGCTTAACTTTTGTCACATTTTGTTATGTTACAGCCTTATTCCAAAATTGATTAAATTATTTTTTTTCCTCAACATTCTACAAACAATACCCCATAATGACAACGTGAAAGAAGTTTGTTTTGAAATCTTTGCAATTTATTAAAAATAAAAAATGAATTAAAAAAAGACATGTACATAAGTATTCACAGCCTTTGCCATGACACTCGAAATTGAGCTCTGGTGCATCCTGTTCCCACTGATCTTCCTTGAGATGTTTCGACAATTTGATTGGAGTCCACCTGTGGGAAATTCAGTTGATTGGACATGATTAGGAAAACCTGTTAACAGTGTATGTCAGAGCACAAACCAAGCCATGAAGTCCAAGGAATTGTACGTAGACCTTCAAGACAGGATTGTATCAAGGCACAGATCTGGGAAGGGTACAGAAAAATTTCTGCATCATTGAATGAGCACAGTGGCCTCCATCATTCGTAAATGGTAGAAGTTTGGAAATACCAGGAATCTTTCTAGAGTGGTCTGCCCGGCCAAAACGAGCTATCAAGGGAGAAAGGCTTTAGCTGGGCAGGTAACCAAGCACCTGATGGTCACTCTGAAAGAGCTCCAGCATTTCTCTGTGGAGAGAGGAGAACCTTCCAGAAGAACAACCATCTCTGCAGCACTCCACCAATCAGGCCTGTATGATAGAGTGGCCAGACAGTAGCCACTTCTCAGTAAAAGGCAAATTGGCAGCCCGCCTGGAGTTTCCCAAAAGGCACCTGAGGGACTCTCAGACTATGAGAAACAAAACTCTCTGGTCTGATGAAACAAAGATTGAACTCTTTTGCCTGAATGTCAAGCATCATGTCTGGAGGAAACCAGGCACCTCTCACCACCTGGCCAATACCATCCCTTCAGTGAAGCATGGTGGTTGCAGCATCATTCTGTGGGGATGTTTTCAGTAGCAGGAACTGGGAGACTAGTCAGGATCGAAGGAAATATGAGTCCAGCAATGTACAGAGACATCCTTGATAAAAACCTGTATCCAAAGTACTCTAGACCAGTTTATCTTTCAACAGGACAACAACCCTAAGCCCACATAACAAATGAGTGGCTACGGGCCAACTCTGTGAATGTCCTGGGGTGGCCCAGTTAGAGTCCATACTTGAATCCGATTGAACATCTCTGGAGAGATCTGAAAATGGTTGTGCACCGACACTCCCTATCCATCCTGATGGAGCTTGCCCAAAAATAGGTGTGCCAAGCTTGTAGCATAATACTCAAAACGACTTGTGGCTGTAATTGGTGCTAAAGGTGCTTCAACAAAGTATTGAGCAAAGGCTGTGAATACTTATGTGCATGTGGTTTTTTTAATTTTTAATAAATTGCAAAGCTTTCTTCATTCACGTTGTAATTATGGGGTATTGTTTGTAGAATGTTGAGGAAAAAAATGAATTTAATCCATTTTGGAATAAGGCTGTAACATAACAAAATGTGACAAAGGTTAAGTGATGTGAATACTTTCTGGATGCACTGTAAGTCATTCCTGTACTTGTATTCTGTATGCAAGAGTTTGAACTCTTAAAAATGTATGTAAAAAAAAAAAATGTAATAGTGTATGGCCAGCTTAAGTGATGTGTAAGTCTAATCATTGCAAGTATTTATTATTTCTTACACAAATTACAGTAAATCCCCTGACAATGCCTTCATCTATTCTCATCAGAGGGCTGGCATCATCTTTCTTTAGGCATCATCCAGGATCCATTCTTCCAGCACTAAGATGCTTAGTCCTTAGGCACATTGTATAAACACTAGTGCCAGCAGAGTAGTCTTTATATTCTTGGTATTCTCACACAGATCAGCCCCCTGATGCAGCTTCTCCTTATGCTAAAGTGTGCAATTTGGGTGCGTGATAACTGCAGTAGAAGGACTTTGAAAATGCTTTTTTTTTATTGCCTGCAGAACACTGATTTTCATCATTTTCCCAGATTGCACCTCTCAAGCCTAGGCACAATCACACGCCTGAAACCTAATACTGTTTTAATGGTAAAAGGTACAGTTAAAAATTGCAAAATGTATGATGGGTGCTTTTTCACATTTGCGTTATTGTAGGAAAAAAAATACAGGTTTCAAAACCAAGTGGACAAAATGAAAGAAAAGGTGAAAACTGTGGAAGAAAGATCAAAAGAATTTGTCTACAAGGTGGAAGAAAGGAGCCATGACCTAATCCAAAAGTGGGAAGAAAAATCTAGAGAGTTCATCGGGAATTTTTTGGAGTTGTTTGGTCCTGATGGCGCCTGGGTATGTTTATTCCTCGTGTTTACAGTATTGCCCTGATATTTGTAGTTTTCATTATTGTCTTCTTTATTCATTATTGACTTTCTAAATCAGGGGTCAGCAACCTAATGCATGCGTGTCACAGTGGGCACACAAAGCCATTGTCAGTGGCACCTGGAAGATCAGTGGTTACATGTCTACAAAGTTAGTTGATATTTCTCATTAAAATATGTAAGTAAATTTTGTTAAACATTATTTAGTCTGTAGTAAAGTGACTTTAGCCAAAAAATCCTATATTTGAAAAAGTTTTGCATCTGTCTCTGCATTTGGATCCACATATATGTGCAAAAAGATTTTTTGAAGCCAACCTACAACAGATAATTCAGAAGCATGAGTGCAGCTGAAATTAACATCTTACAGGTCAGACATAGTACGACTAAGACATAAAAGACAGGGACAATACTGCATCTGAAAATTAATTTTACTGTTCAGTATACATAAATTGTAAATATGCAGGAACATACATCTAGGATCATGCTTTGGGCAAGATTTATAGATGATATGTGCATGCTGTGGAATGGCAGCATTTCAGCATTCAGTTTGTTGAAGTTTTCAATGCAATACAATTGGCATGTACTTCAAAAATTAAATTCAAAGTGATGCCATTATTTTCCAGAATTAAAGATAGGTAGAAATGAAAATGGAAACATAGAAACTGCCACATACAGAAAACCAACATCTGCCACCAATCTATTGCATCAGACAAGCCATCACCCTAAATCTCTAAAGAGAGTGATTCCAAATGAAATTTTTTTCAGGCAGGAAGCAAGTGTATAATTGGATGATAGTTGGACTCTCTTCTGAAGATTTTCTGAGTGTTAGGACTTACCAAGATCATTCAACAAAGCTAAATAAAGGTCAAGAGATTCTATTAGTGAGCCAAACAGAGAAATTATGCTAAAAATCTAGAATGTTTGATTGGTACTTATTCTTGACAATCAGGCAAGATATTCAGTATCTTACAGAAATATTGGCCTATCCTTTTAGAAGATAACAATCCGAGGGAAGTTTTACCACACACCCCACAAGTGACCTACCAAAAAAAAAAGAAAAACAGGAACAGTTGTGAACATGGTTACCAGAAAAAAACAAAAGGCCCTTAAACATGTAATATACATACTCCTAAAAAAGACCAGTAGCTAGGCACATCTGACTGTTTAAAATTCTGGGTGGTACAGGTGGACATCAAACTTGGCTAAACAAACAGGGATTTAGACACGCTTCTGTTAAAAACAAAAGCAAAATGGATCTTTAGACTGGTCTCAAGAGCTCTACATGGTCTAGATGAAGGCTTTTGATATTGGTGGAAAGTGTTTTTCCTTTAACTTGAAACAGCTTCCATGGAGTATACTTGTCACATAATGTATCATTGCATGGGTTATTTGCAAATAGCACTGTGTAGCACACATGCAGCATGATGACGTCATTATGCTGACATGATGATGCATGCGCAAACACGATGACACAAAACAATGCACTGTATGTGACATGCATGATGACATCACAGTGGCAATATGGGAATTTATTAGATTCATTTTCTAACCTCATTATTATATATTTTCCTAGCACTCTTATGTGTTATGTGACCAATTTTTTTTTTTGAACCTAAATTGATTTTGAAAAAATGAAAGTTAAATTTTAAAGGTTAAGTTCACCTTTTGAAGCATAAAATAAATGCACATTTTTTTGCAGGTAAAAAAGTGTGCATTTATTATTTTGTTTTTCTAAGGAGCCTGGGGAACAACAGATTGCACGTGCAATGTCAGGCTCCTCCAGACTCTCAGGATAGTTGTCTGCCTGTACCTCATTTGGCCAGGTAGTTACTTGAGAGCAGGAAGAATCAATGAACTACCTTAGTGCTCACCAGCATCCTTGTAGTTAATTGAGAACTACAAGCCGTCAATTGCAATGACTGACAGGAAATGAATGACACAGACCTGTGTGAAGAGCTGTTTTTAACTTGTGACAGCAGGTGGGGTAGTAGATCCCATGTTCGCTGTCATGGGGGGGGGGGTGCAGGATGCACATGCTGGAACATGTTACATGTTCCACCCAAAAGACAGGTGGAACATTTCTGTGCTTATGCTGTTTTCTTCACTGTCCAGGATAGGGATTCTCCTGATAGATATTCTGAGTTCAGAGTTGCTTAACTCTTAAAATATAACATCTCAATAATTTTTCACACTTTCTTCACCTGGAAGGACTTCTGATATAAAAATAAACATTTTTTCCTAAGCAAAGCAGCTAGAAAAATTAATTCATGTATTTGGTGCCTGCTGTAGGCTGTAGGACTGTAGGTTTTCTGAAATTACATTGGGGTTATGTCATGGGTCCAGATTAAATGTAAATGGTTCTTAGCAGAGTTAATGAACTAGATTCAAAGCCATTAGACCATAAAATAGGAAGGAAGGTAGGATGTATAATTACAAATGAAGTTTGATATTATTGTGCTGATAAAAAAATGTTTTACGATTGTAGGATTTGTTATTGATAGGACTTGCCCATTCCATTTAGTCAGCCTTTCCAGTATAATTACTATGTACACCAGGGCATTTGGGTTTGTCATGCATAGAGGAACTTTTCATTTTAAGATGTTTCTCAGCATGGATACAAATTCAATTTCAAATTTTGTATAAACCATAAAATTACGCTAAACATTCATTTTTTTTTTATAAGAGGAGGTGCCATGAATACTTTGGTGTACTTTGATAAGTTTTCTGGTATTAAAAAAAATACATCTGACATATTTGTGTGCAGGGGTAGTAGATAACATATTCATAATCCAAACTGTGAAATGTTCAGCATGGTTCTGTAGATGCCAAACACAAGCTGTTTATTGACAAACCAACTGCTCAGAAGAAATTAAGACTGCTATAAGAGGGTAAAGTTTAAGCTGATTTCAATAACAAAAAATGCCCCAGAATGCATTTCACTAACAACGTTTATTTTCTTCCAGAAGCAGATGTTTCAGGAGCGCAGTGGGCGGATGCTGCAAGCACTCTCTCCAAGACAAAGTCCTACCAGTAGTCCCACGCGAGAACGTTCACCCTCTCGTTCCCCATCACCACCTTTACCATGGATGCTGAATAAACCCTCTCCTCCTTTATCCCCCAAAGGTGCTGCATCCGCCTCTATCTCTATCAGCAGCATGAGTGAGGGAGATGAAGATGAGAAGTAACTTGTACCAGAAGTTTTAATTCTGAAAAAATAAATGACTTTTATGATACAGAGAACAGCTTAGTTTTCTTTAGCTGGCTTCTCACAAAGAAACAATTAAGCTATGAAGAGTTGGACTTTGGAAGCATTTGGGATAAGAAACATCAAACAATTCTCAGGCACCTAGGTAAAGAAAGATTGAATGAAAGGTTAGAGTGGTCTCGGACCTGGGTATGTATGATGAGATATCATTTATACAAGTATGAGACAAAGTATATTAACAAGTGCTAGAAATTACAAAGCCAAAGTTGTTTCCAAATGAACCTGCTGAATTGGAGAACAAACTGCAAACTCTGAAAGTGAATTTATAGAAGACATATATTATAAAGTGTATTATGGGCATGCGGTTCCTGGTATACTTGAACTTTGTGTAATGGCGGAAACCATGCACAGCAAACCTAGAATAGAATTAGAACAAAATAGCATTTATGTATACAAAGCACTGATGGGTACTGCTCTTATTATAATGCAGAAAAAGCTTCTTCTTTTTGTGTTTAGAACCCAGATGTGCATAGATTGTAATTAATTTTAACAACGTCTTATAAAATTGCACTGATTGTATAAATCCCTATTACATGGGTGCTAGGGGCTTAACACAGATCTAATTTAGTATCTGTCGATGTAGATGTCACGCCACTTACTTTTTGCAATACATGACTTACCCATAATTCCCTTAGATTTTTCTTATTACCTAGCTGTCATGGTTTGATTGTGTAACTGTGTACACATCTATGAACCTATGTTCATTAGGAAAGTATTGAATGAAATTCATGGACCATGTGACAAATGACAAATAAAGTGGTTATCCAGGAATATCATACATATTTCTTATATCTACATCACATTGTTCACAAAATTCAAAAGGGCAGTGCACAGTGCCTTGTGACAAAAAGAGAAAATTGTTAATCTAGTTTGTGTAATTTCTTTGTGGACATGGCTTATTCTCAAAGATGTGACTAAATTTTGTCAGGTAAAGTCAAAAGGTGTGTAAAGTCACTATCAATGTTCGTATATCAATACATCACCAGGTATTTACATTTATGACTATAAAATACTATTTATGGCGTTGTTTTTTTTTCTATTTACACACACACAAACTCTTTTGATAGCAGTAATTTTGATCCACCAGAAGGGTGTACTTACACATATCAGAGTATTCCTGCTCTCTATACCCAGTTCCACCCCTCCACCTCCGCTGTCCTGCCCCCTATCCAGCAGGATATCACTTCCTAGATCACCTAGCATCTTCTCAAAAATTTTCCTGCGCTCTGTATTCTCATTCACTTCTATTGACTTCCAAGTACTACCAAGTAGATAGGAATTTTTGGAATCGCAGAGTGCAGGCGTGGGCCCCCAACTTTGAAAAATTGGCTGTAGTATGTAGGCATCGATATCTTGCTGAATCAGGGACAGGTGAGTGTAACACTATATGGGGGAACTGGAGGAGCCCTGATATACTGTAAGTGCAACTACACCAAAGGTGAAGTTAAAGGAGTTCTATGGCTGCAGCGTGCACTTTCATTTTATAACATCTGCATTGTAATAGCCATACAAACAGTACAGTTCTTTTTGGAAATCCAGCATAAGCTTACTTGAAAAATCATGTTGTGAGTTTTGCCTGTCTTATGGACATTTCTTTCTGCAACTTCCTGAATTCTCTGCATGGTTTGCAGCATGTCCTTTGCTTTTTACATAAAATTTCTAAGGACTACATATCCCATGGTACCTTGCTGCCTGCAAGCAGCGATTCCCACCTCTGCCTTCTGAAACTCCTTTTCTCAGCACCTCTGTAGTTCAGAAAGCTGGCTCTATTAAATCTGATACACTGCAGTGTCTACATGAAACTTATAGAAAAGTCCTGCTGTCAGGGATCTCCTCGATCCCCGCCGCGATGGTCCCAGCGCAGTGCACCGCCCTGTGCAGGGACACGGGCACTAGTTTGGGGCCGGCCGCGGCGTTCGAGTTCGCGCATGCACAGTAGAAGCCGCGGCCGCCCGCTGGGCACCAATGGCAGCGCAGGGCGGGATATTTTAAATGGCCCTGAGCTGTCATTCAGTGCCTTCTGGTCCTACCTGTATCCTGCGAATCTGAACCTGTTCCTAGTAAGTTGTTTGACCCGGATTGCTCTTGACCTGCTGATTTCTCCTGCCCAGACCCTTGCTTTGTATGACCTCTCTTCTGAATGCCCCTCATTAGATCTGACCTGCTGTTGCTGACCTGGCGTGTGACCCGACGATTCTCTGCCCGCTCCCTTGTACCATACCGCCCTCTACGTTACCAACTCGGCCCGCCTGACTTCGCACTTGCTCAGCCATCCATCCCATCGGGGTCACCCGACCTCCTCACATCTGGCTCTCCCTGGTTGGAGCCCCTGGCGAACACCCCTACCACTGACAGGTGTGCTCAGTAGTGGTGACCTGGTCTCGGGGTACTCCAAGTCCATCCCCACCATCAGGGGCTCTGGTGAACAAGTACCCTGGGGCTTAGACTCCGCGCTCTGGGCACGCCTGACCGGTGGAGTGCTAGTGGTGCTGCTAGGCAGTCCCTCACACCTGCACTGACCCCCTGTGTATTCCTCTGGTTGGTTCATTCTCCTCTTAGCAGGTCTCATAAGCACGTCAAGCTCAGTGAAATGTCCACAAGAAATGACGCTGGGCCACAGTTATAGATATTGAGTATTGACTTCAGCACTGTCTTCACCCATAGGAGAACATCTCCTAATGTGTTTTAACCCATATAGGACTTAATTGTGGAAACAGTTCTGGAGCCATTTGACAATTTGTTCTTGTGAACACTGCAGAGCCTTGCGTTTCACCCATATAGGACTTAGTGGTTGAGACAGTTCTGAAGCCATTTGACAATTTGTTCTTGTGGACACTGCAGTGCCTACTCATAGGACATAGTAAATGCGCTCGGTATCCCAGGAAGTAAATGTGTGGGGATTATCACAAAGTAAGTTTACAAACTTCAAAATCATTCAGATTAATAGGAATAGGTTACAAATAATAGATACACAACGTGGAACTGAATATAGACTATATTGCCAAAAGTATTGGGACACACCTCCAAATCACTGGATTCAGGTGTTCCAATCACTTCCATGGTCACAGGTGTATAAAATCAAACATCTAGGCATGCAGTCTGCTTCTGCAAACATTTGTGAAAGAACGGGTCGCTCTCAGGAGCTCAGTGAATTCAAGCATGGTACCGTGATAGGTTGCCACCTGCGCAATAAGTCCATCTGTGAAATTTCCTTGCTACTAAATATTCCAAGGTCAACTGTTAGTGGTGTTATAACAAAGTGGAAGCAACTGGGAACAACAGCAACCCAGCCACGAAGTGGTAGGCCATGTAAAATGACAGAGCCAGGTCAGCGCGCATAGTGCGCAGAAGTCGCCAACTGTCTGCAGAGTCAATAGCTAAAGACCTCCAAACTTTGTGTGGCCTTCAGATTACCACAACACCAGTGCATAGAGAGCGTCAGGGAATGGGTTTCCATTGCTGAGCAGCTGCATCCAAGCCTTACATCACCAAGTGCAATGCAAAGTGTCTGATGCAGTGGTGTAAAGCACCCCACCACTGGACTCTAGAGCAGTGGAGACATGTTCTCTGGAGTGACGAATCACGCTTCTCTGTCTGGCAATTCAATTGATGTGTCTGGGTTTGGCAGTTGCCAGGAGAACGGTACTGTCCTGATTGCATTGTGCCAAGTGTAAAGTTTTGGTGGAGGGTGAATTATAGTGTGGGGATGTTTTTCAGGGGTTGGACTTGGCCCCTTACTTCTAGTGAAAGGACTTCTTAAGGTGTCAGCATACCAAGACGTTTTGGACAATTTCATGCTCCCAACTTTGTGGGAACAGTTTGGGGATGCCCCCTTCCTGCTTCAACATGGCTGCGCACCAGTACATAAAGACAAGACAGAGTCCTGACCTCAACCCGATAGAAAACCTTTGGGATGAATGAGAGTAGAGACTGCGAGCCAGGCCTTCTCATCTGGCACCAGTACCTGACCTCACAAATGTGCTTCTGGAAGAATGGTCAAACATTCCCATAGACACACTCCTAAACCTTGTGGACAGCCTTCTCTGATGAGTTGAAGCTGTTATAGCTGCAAAGTGTGAGTCAACAAATATTGAACCCTACGGACTAAAACTGGGATGCCATTAAAGTTCATGTGCGTGTAAAGGCTAATACTTTTGGCAATATAGTGTATAATTTTACATATTGATTCAAACAATTCAATATGCAATTCAAACAAATTATGGACTGCACATCCTTCAATTTCCTATAAAGTTAGCAGTGTGTATGGAGCCTGCTTGATGTGGTGGCCTGTTTGCCTGATTTAGATGTATAGCTCGCCCTTGAGTGTGTATAAATTTATATATATATATATATATATATATATATATAAAACACCATCCAAAATACTTTACAAAGAATATGGAATTATTCAGTTCCATTCCTGTCCTCGAAGGGTTTACATCCTAATCTCTCTACAATAGGCAAACATAAACAGCAAAAAACAGTATCTTAAAGTACCCTCTATTGGTACAGTTTCACAGCACTATCTACCTTCATAGCAGCCTAAAAGTGCTTGGCACTGAGGCCTTCCCTCTCCAGAGTAAAGGAGGTTTTGAGTACCTTTTTGGGAACAATATTTGAATTAAGTATGACAGATCACAAGTGCAAGTTAAATGGATCAGATGGACTCACTAGCTCAAGCTCAGTACTTAGCTCCAAGGGGGGTGGTAATTTATCCACTCAGTTCCCTAATACCCTTACGCTGACAGTTACTCCAAATCGGCCACTCGAGTGTCCCATCTGCCACACTAGCTTTCTCTTTCTATGTTTTGCTTTTTGTCTTTTAAGGTCACTTTGCAGTAAAAGCAAGGTAGCCTAAACTCCTGTAATATATTAATGTGCTTTACTAAACAAGAATGCTGCTGTTATGGACCACCTGGTGTACTCTAGCAGTCCACAGAATAGGAATCCCCAGGGCGCGGAGTGTAAGCCCCAGTCCGCTTGTTCACCAGAGCCCCTGATGGTGGGGATGGGCTTGGAGCGGACAGTGACCAGGTTGCAGCCCCTGAGTACACCCACCTGAGTTAGGGGAATCACCAGAGGTAATGACAGGTGGACAGCCTGGTGTGAAGAGGCAGACAGGTCTGCAGAATAGAAGCTAATCCGTTCGGGTCGGATGGATGGCTGAGCAATAGCGTGGTCAGACGGGCCGGTAAAGGACGGTCAGCGTGGTACAAGACAGCAGGCACAGAGGAATCAGGTCACTCGCCGGGTCTGGTAACAGAAGTTCAGATCAGAAGAGATATCCAGAAGAGTAGTCAAACGAGCCAGAGGGTCAGGGCAGGAGAATATCAGCAAGGTGAGGTTCAAGCAAAGGTCAGCAACAGTCAGGAATCAACTCACAGATCACAGGAACAAGATCAGACCATACGGCAACTTGTGTCTGTGCAGGGCTGGTTTAAGTAGCCCGCCCTGCGCCTGACTGGCGCAGCCTAGGTCCTAGTGCCTGTCCAGCACCTGGGTCCTAGTGCCCTGCTGCCTGCATGTCTTGACAGACACCTACGCATGTGCAGACCCATGTGTTGCGATGGTCCCTGACAGCTGCACATAAAAACTACTTCTAATTGTAGGAAAACAAGACTTACAAAGTATTACAGATATACATACAACATATGCACACACTACCTAATCTTCCTAGTGAATGAGTATGAACAATGGTTTGTGTACAACAGGGCTACACTAAAAGTCACTTGGCTTAGTTTGTAGTGGCTTCACGATCTCTGTAGGCAGCTAGGATCTATGCAAGCAATTGCTAGAAATCAGGCACTAGCGTCATTCCCAGGTGAAGTTCTGTTTGGTACAGACTTTCCTTCTTAGTTCTTGTAATAGAGTCAATTGGCACAAATCTTCCCTGTTATCAAGGAGTCTCCTTTCAGTTTATGCTGATGCAACACTTTCCTATCCAAAGAACATTTCTGCCACAATGTCAAATTTCATGGGCAGAATTTCGGGCCTTAATAAACTCACAGATAGTAGGGGTCACAGTTGTGCCCCTACAGCCTAGCCTTTGGAATCTGTCTTTGATTTTGTCCTTGTACCAGACACATTACCTGAGGAGGAGATGGTAGTTAAGAATGATCCTTTTCCTTCTGAGGAATCAGAATAGCATGCCAGCAGCAGGGATTTCATCCAAGCTCAAATATATCATAGCTATGCTGTATGCTCCTGGTTAGCATTTGAACAGCTGGAGTCAGCTCATCCCAAGGTATCCAGCACTGGGTCCTGTTAGACATATCCTGCATAGGGACTGGCCTTGCTCAGAGAAGATTTTTACTCCTCCAAAACACATTGCTCAGCTGTATACTATTGAGGAACATTTCTTATGAAAGTGAGCAGTTCCTTCCATTACTTGTCTTTACAACCCCTTCACAGCCTCTGTGGAAAATAATCCTGTCATTGAGTACTGTCAGGGCAGGGCTGTGGAACGGACAGGTAGGCCTAGTGGCAGGGTAACGCACTGGCTGACGACAACCACCACCAACAGACCGAAGTCCCTCAGGGCGCAGAGTCTAAGTCCCAGGCTGCCCTTCACCAGGGCCCCTGATGGTGGGGATGGACTTGACGCAGCCAGGAACCAGGTCGCGGCCCCCCGAGACACCTTGGCTGCGGTAATGGCCGCCGCCAATGGCGTGTAGCTGGTGAGAATGACAATAGCGTAGTCAGGCAAGCCGGGTCGACAACAACGGGACAAAACAGTACAGAACAGTAGACAGAGAATCACAGGTCACGGGCCGGGTTCAGCAACGGAAGGTCAGATCGAAGGAAAACACAGAGAATGGTCTTAGTCACAAGCCGAGTCAGAATACCAGAAGAGTCACGAACGTATACACAGAGCTGTAGCAAGACAAAGACACAAGACACAAGTGCAAAGAGCATGTGCGGATCACAGGCTTATATGTACTCAGCCACACCCCTCTGGGGGATGGACCTCAGAGACCTGAAGGCATAAAAGCTTCCCACCATGCTCAGCAGAAATCCAAGATGGATGCCAGCACAGGGAGTAACATAACCTCTGGGAAAAGGTAGGACCTTGACAAGTACCCAGTGCACAAAAAGTCAGAGGCCCTCTTTACAGCTCTCTTTCCTATAGTGAGTCCAGTTCTGCAACCTGTGGTTGCTTTTATGGCATTCCAAGACCAGCACTGTCAAGATGAAACTAGGATCTTGGGCCATGAATTTTGTCCAAACAAATGCTTCAGTCTACAATCAGTTAGACCTTTTACCTATGACCTTACACTACTGTGTGAACAGCTTAGCAGACATACTTTATCAAGTCTCCAGGATGAGGCTCTTCATTCACATTCACAGGATACATTGGCTAAAAGCATTGAACAGTTACCTTTGGATAACTCCTTGGATAAATATATCAAAAGATTACAGTATGAGTATGCTTCTCCCCCAGAAATAGAAGGATCATGCCTCTACTAGTAGCACTTCTACTCCTAAAGGTAGGAAAGATTCCTTTTATCCCTCTGCTTTCCAATTACAAATCTAGGCATATACTTCCCAACCCATTACAGTAGTTGGACTACTTTTAGACATGGCCCTGACTGTTTCCAAAGCTCATTACCAATGATAGGGAGCCCCTCCCTTCTCAAAATGTGGGACATACATCAGCTTTCTCCTCCACCTTCTGATCTTAGAAAATTGCAGATGCCTGGGTCTGGAGTTTTTTTTTCCAGGGGCTACAAACTGAAGTTTCACACTCCTACCCTCTTCATGCTTTCAAAAGTGTCTCTCAGCTTGTTACAATGCATGGATCTGCTTGATGCTGTCCAGTAGCTCTTGTCCCAAGGAGTTATTGCCACATTTTTAAGGCTTCTACACAAACCTTTTTATAGTTCCTAAAACAAATTGAGGAGTTCTATTCTGGATCTGAAGCTTTGCAACTTGTTCCTACAGGTGCAGTACTTTCACATGGAAATTAGTTGGTCATTGACTTTGTCCTTCTGGGGGATTCTCTAGCCCCAACAGATAACTGGAATGCTTACTTGCACATTCCTATATTTTTCAGTGGGCGATCATCAATTACCAATTTGTTGGCCTTTTCTTTGGCCTTGATGCAATTCCCTAGTCTTGGCTCTGTTCTATGCTCAAATGATTCATGTTATGGGGTACTTGGATGATCCCCTGTGAAAGGACCAGTCTTTTGTGTCCTTGTTAGCCAAAATCCAGAAGACAGATATCCAGAAGACAGTGCAGACTCTGCAGAGTTTCAGCTGGTTCCTCAATCTGACTTTAGACACAGCCCTGTCTAGAAGCTTCCTGCTCTGGACAAACTCCTGTCACTCTGTTCTCATGCCCAGTTTGACTCCAAACCATTGCAATTATCACATACATGGTAGTAGAGCCTGATATGATGAAAAAGGCCTCTCTTACACCTCTGACTCTGGCTGCTGGTAGTGTAAACAGAAGGCGCAGACGTGCAGAGTGGTACAAGTGCTTGTAAGTCTTGCTAGCAGCAGAGCAGGTGTCCATGCTGGGCAGGTGAAGTCATTCAGGGTATTCAATAAGGCAGGCAGCTGGGAAGCAGACTGAATAAGCCTGGTACTGGTGACAGCAGGCAGATGAGATGGTGGCAGGAACAGCAGGGTGGTAGGCAGGTACCAGTGGCAGCAGGATAGCAGAGTCAGGCAGGCCAGGTCATACACAGGCAGGACAGGTCAGGTGCAGGGCACAGGCAAGAACGTGGTCTAGGTACAAGCTTGGTTTTGGAAGCCGATTAGTGAAGCAGAAGCCAATGGAACAGACAGAAGCG